GCTGTATCACAAGTTCACTAATCTTTGGTTCTACATTAACTAATCTGCTATTAATCCAATATTTCTTTTATTTCAAACATTGTGTTTTTATTCTCAGAAACTGAATTTGGGGATTTTGTTTTGTTTTTTTAAAGAGATGGGAAGTCTAACTTTTTGTCCAGGCTGGCCCTGAGCTCCTGGGCTCAAGTGATCTTCCTGCCTTGGCCACTTAAGTAGATAGGACTACAGGCAGGTGTCACCATGCCTGGGTTCAGGCCTTTTTATATGTTCCATTTTCTCCCCATCAGATTCATGTTTTCTTTTAACCTTGATAATATTTAAAGATTCATAACAACTTTTTAAAAGTCCTTGTCTACTAAAGTCATTTCCGGATCTGTTTCTATTGATTTATTTTTTCTTTATGGCTCATATTTTTTCATTTTCTGTGCCTTGCAATTTTTGATTGGATGCCAGACATTGTGATTTTTATGTTGTTTAGTGTTGAATTTTGATTTTAGATTTTTTTTTCCAAGATTTTTGAATTTTGTTCTTTCAGTTGAGTACCCTTTAGAGATTTGAGATGAAGTAGCAGCCTTTATTTTGGAGTAACTGAGCCCCTCTACTGAGGTGTGACCCCTGTAAGGACACTTCAGTGCTCTCTGTATGGTGAGTTATGCCCAGCTCTTCGTAATCTTCAGGGATCGTGTGGCCCACTGCTTTTCAGCCATGGGGAGCTTGTGCTGCTGTTTGCACAGTTCACTGTTCAGATGCACCCTGGAAAGGACTCCCTTGCAATTCTCTGGGCCTCTTCTCTTCTTCAGGCCCCACACTCCAGTGGTCTGCACCACAAATCCCAGCTGCCTCCGCTCCCCAGATACCAGTCTCCCTCTCTGCAGCTCAGGAGATCACGGGCTTTGCTTGGGTTTCTTGTCCTGGCCTGCGGCCTTGGAAGCTGCTTTGGGAAGTGGGCTTCCATATTTGTCAGTACCACCACATCTGTCTCCCTCTTCTCTGGTTTAATAGGCCTATGCTGCTTGTTGTGCAATAATTGAAAAACATTGTTTCATATATTTTGTCCTGTTTTCTTGTTTACCACGGCAAGAGGGCGAATTCTCATAGCATCTAATTCTTCATGGGCAAGAAGTCTTGTCTTTTATTATTACAGTGTAGCTTGACAGTCTTTTTTTTAATCTCACATCATAGTAATACTAAAGATTTTGAATTAGTTGCAAGCAGCTGTGTTCTTCTCAAAGCTTGATCTTGATCAGTCCTGAAATCTGTATATTCTAATGAGACCAAGGGACTCTTAACAAAGTAACAGTGCAGAGGGAAGGCCGATCTTGGATTCAAGTGTGTGGTTGTAGGCCCTGGGCCTTCCATGTCCACCCCTGCGTTCTCAGCACTCCCTAGGTGGGCAGTTCTCCAGGAGCACTGGTTGTCCTTGTTTTATACCTGATTATAAGCTTCTGAAGGACAGAACAGTGTCCCTGCTGGGACAGGGGAGTGAACCAGACTGAGGCACTGGGAGCCACCGGGTTTTCCTGTGAAATTCATTCTTAATTAAATGTATGTGAGAATAAAAGTGGGCAACTCATAATTTCAAACACATTCTTAAATATGTGGTCTGCATGTACTATGAGAGCAGAATCCCAGGAACTCTGAAGAGCTTGGAGATGCTGCCCATCCCAGCGCGCTCCAGAGGGAAGTGGGCCACCTTGGTAAGAAGCTGAGTGTGGGTCCTCACGCGGTGTGCTGTGTAGGCAGTGTTAAGCACTTGCGACAGACTGCAGGTGAAGCTCAGGGAAGTCAGACATGGAAGGAGTGTAGATTTAGACCCAAACTTGTCCGGTTTTTTAAACTGCTGCACCTCCCAAATAGGCGTTTTGTCTTGGAAATTGCCTTTCAAATGGCGTTTTCCCAAGACCTTCGTCCTCCCCTGTGTTGTGGTGAGTGTTGAGCTGAAGCCAAGGGCTCCACCCCGTTATGGCCCTCCCTGACCCTGAGTGAAGCACTCTTTTCTGCAGAGTTAACTTCTCAGTGCTGCCTGGCCTGGGCCTTGGTGAGCCGGAGACTGTTAATGATGCATGTGCTTCCTGCAGGCCCCCGAAGGAAGAAGGAGCACTTGGCTCCTCAGTGTGAAACAAGCTGCCAGAGAGGTCTAAGTACATAGCAGGCTAAAAATCACTTACAGCGTTGTCTAAATTTGGCTATAATCCTTTTGAAAAGACTCTTCAGCACCAAGAATTAGGACAAAATTTGAAAATTCCTGATTTCTCCTGGCCTTTCTGTCAGGAGAGTCTCAGGATTTGAGTCTCACACGGTATCTTACGCTGCAGATAAAGAAGCCAGTAAGAAGGTAGAGTTCTCTGCACTGTTCATTCTGCTTTTGACCAAATACCCTTGATCCTTGGGATTCCGTACTTTTCAATCCACCTGGAAATACCATTTCTCTTTTTCAAAGCTCCTAGCCATAAATCAGCCATAATGGAAGGTCTCCTCACAGCGAGGGTGCTGCCCGGCCTCTGCCTCTGAAGTGTTCATCTGGCTTTCCCACAGCTGACTCCAAGGATTGGAGCCTTTTAATGCAATCTTCATGGCACGTGGTCACCACATCTATGTGAAGTCTTTAAAATTTGTGTTTGATTGATAGCATATTGCTCTTCGCTGGTGAGGGGAACCCTATCGTTCCTCCTTGCCTTTGTGGATGTTAAGTTACTTGTCTGTGTACTTCCATGGCTGGGACTCCAAATGTAGAAATATGAAGGGAAAAGAAAAGCAACCCCACTCAACAGATCTGTCTGACTCTTAGGCCTGTTCTGTCTCCCAGGGTTAGAAAACCAAAATTCCCCTCCTATAAAGTAACCCAGTTACCAGGAAGAGATGAAAAATCAATTTGCCAATTAATTGATCAGTCAAATGCCACAGCTCTAGTAGAGGGGAAAGAAACTTCTTTCTTAAAAGCCTTGTCCTTGTCCTTGTCCAGGCCTGTCTTGTAGGTTTTCATTCACCTCTGGTCCCCCGATTCTGTGTCAGCTCCTGTTGTCCCTTCTGTATTTCAGAATTTGCCTAAAACCTCCTCCTTCGTATTTCCATGACCTGTCTCTGAAATGATGTGAGTTTTTAAACTACAGTGTTGTGTTAGTGTGAGGTATTGCTACTAAATACAGCTCAAGATCTTCTCTAGAAAACTTTTTCAGGATAGCTTTAGCTTCCCATTCTTTTAAGTGATTCAGCTAGTATTTCAGCTTTAATCTATGTGGGATATATATGGGCCTCAGAATCTTAGCCGTGAGTAAGATGAATAAGAAACTCTTCTCTTGCAAAGTTTATAATCCACCTACTTCTCTTTTGAGACTACTATATTCACCATTTTTAATTGTTTCTTAATATAATCAGAAACTCCCAGGGGGTGTCAAGATGTCATTGTTAGCCTTAAAATATGGGCAGTGTCAAGCTATAAGTTGAAAAATCATGGAGTTTGGATAAACGATTTTATCTCTTGAGTTTTAGTGGGGTGTATGTGTCGCTCCCCACCTCTCCCTGCAGTGCTGGGATCAAACCCAGGGCTTTATACATGCTAGGCAAACTCTACCACTATGTTGTATCCCCAGGTCTCTATTTTCTCATTTTAAAAATGTAGGGCTGGGGATGTGGCTCAAGCAGTAGCGCACTTGCCTGGCATGCGTGCGGCCCAGGTTCAATCCTCAGCACCACATACAAACAAAGATGTTGTGTCCGCCGAAAACTAAAAAATAAATAAATAAATAAATAAATGTAAATAATACCTAATTACAGAATAATTGTTAAATCTGATGAGATGATCATTTTAGTGTACAAAGAAGAGTCTCGATATATATGGCTGCTGCACTATGTCAGCTGCTCGCTCAAGCCTTCAGTGGCACCTCTCTTGATTTTCAAATTAAATGTACCTCAACCCCCTTTGCACCCCCTTGACTAAGACCCCAACCTACTGTGTCAGCCTTCACTCGCTTGACTTCCTGTAGATTCTTCACTCAAGTCAAGGTCCTGCTTCCTGAGTACATCCTTCTTACCACGATGGCAAACCAGTAGGACATGCAGTTTCTCAAGCGCCCACTATGATATAAGGCTTCGGATGCTTGTGGACATGTTTGCTTAATACCTGGTTTTAACATAGTGGTTTAGAATCTGGGTCCAGACTCTGCCACCTCCTTGCTTATTTTCATACGTTGGCTGCACAGGGGTTCAGCTGGGTGTCATTGGACAACTCACTTCATCTCTCTAAGCCTCAGTGTCCTCACCTATAAATGGGGGTAATGACAAGAGTAATCATTAGGGTGCTGTTGTGAGGATTAAAAATAACAATCCATGCAAATCACTGAACATAGTAACTAACACATAGAGAAAAGTGAAGTGGTGCTTTCCAGGTACCAACACAGCGGGTGATTGGAAACAGTGGGATTTGAAACCAGAATCTGTGGCTCCAGCATCTGCCCCTTTCCCACTCTCCCACCTCATATTGATCTCTACCTGAAAAATGTCCTTCCTGAGATTTAAATTGCCAGCCTGTGTCAGGGGATGCCTTCTTCGCCAAGCTCTCCTGGATTCCCATCTCTGTGTGATCTCCCTCAGAGTCCTAAGCCGTATGTTACCCATTTCTCCAGAGCAGTGTGCAGTGATGACTTGTGTGCCAGAGTATGAGCTATCTAACCCTGGGTGGGTTTCCCCTGAAGCTCAGAGCTTTCTGCACCAGGTAGATGCTTAATAAACAGTCACTTGAATTGAACATATGCAGTTAAGTCCCAGAGAACTCCGGCTAGTGCCAGCTAGGAATAATTTGCTTGTGAAGGTGTCTCCTTGCCAGGCCCTGTGGTCCACACTTGGCTTAAGGAAAGAAGCAAGGCAGTGTGCCCTCAAGCAGCTTGAGTTTGGTGGAATTGTTTTGAAACCAGGTGATGATTCTCTTTTAATGGAGACAGTAGAGTGTCCAAAGCTGCACACACTTCCATGATGCAGTGAATCTCTCTCTGTTGCCTGTACAGATACGGTCGTCTGCTCCAGCTGCTGTGCCAGTCTAGACTACATCGTCACCTACCTCTTCAAGCACATAGCGAAAGAGGGCAAGAAGCCACTTCGCTGCAGAGAGGCTGCCCAGGCTGGTCAGAGACTATTACATTTTATGCAACAAAACCCAGATGTCCTGCAGCAGGTAACCTAGCTTAAGAAACAGTGGCCCAGAGGCAGCCTGGTCCCTGAACACCAAGAACAAGCGTTCTTTGTTGTTGTTTTTGTTTCTGTTTTTCAGTTGTTCTCCTTATTTTCAGTTGTTCTCCTTAGACAGACATGACTGCAGAGTGTATTTTGGCGTGTTACACATGCGCGGAGTATGGCTTGTTCTGATGAGCATCCTATTCTTAGGGTCGTGCGCCACATGGAGTCTCACTGGGCTGTGTTCACATGTGAACATGGGAAAGCTGTGGGAACAGCCAGCTGACCCTGTAGAGCTTATTCTCTGAGTATTTTCCTTGAAAGTGGGAGTGGCCCCAGGTTCACCCACCCTCAAGAGATCCAGATGTCCTCCACCTCACCTCAGTGAGGCTAGAATTCAAAAACAGACAGTTCTTCCAGAGATCTGAGAAAAAGAGGGCAGAACTGGAACTAGAAGTAGTGATCACCAATTTCTTTCTGGAGCCTCTGAGGGTGTCGTGTAGTTGCCCTGGTCGGGCTCTGGTGTGTCTTGTGAGGCCACCTCGCCTTTGCTGGGCTCCTAGGCTTTGCCAGGCAGCCAGCTAGGCACTGCCACTCATCAGATTGTAGTTAGTGTTGCTCCCAATTTAAGATGAGGAGTCACAGTTCAGACAGATGAAAGAATATTCCCAGGAGCATTTAATTAGTAAGTGATAAAACCATATCATTATATTTTCTAATTGGCGAATGGGGTTTAGATTCAACACTGTTCTTTAAAAGTCTTGCAGTTCACAGTGACACCACGCCAGGCATGTTTCGAAAAGAATAATGCCATTTTTTATGGCTATACTGCCACTACACTCTTCCGCTAAGTTTGGAATGTAATATTTTTATATTGTTGTTTTCTCTTGCCAAATTATATCCATAATTGTCTTTGATTTGCAAACATAAATACTTCAACAGTATCTTGCTACAGTGTCATTAGTGAGCAAACAAGTCACCTGCAACCCGCAGAAAAGTCACTGTAAGTAAAAAATGATAAAAATAGCATGGGACAGCATGGACAGGCTTCTTCCTGGTTGTTGTTTTTGCTGATATGGAAATGAAATTGTGTAAACTTTGTCTGTGGGGACATTTCATTTAACCAGTTTTTTTCTGAGGAGGGGGAGGGGAGCATAGTTCATGTTTTAAGCAATAGCAGAGGGCTATCACCCAGAGCTGTTTGTGCAGGTGGGTGATGTCTAGCTCACATCTGTTGAGTACTCACTACACACAAGGGACAGGAGCCATTCCGACACGAAAGAACTGATTTCTCTCCTTCAAAAGTTCCTTGTCGTGAAGGACAGAGACGAGTAACCAGCCAGTGTTTTGGTAATTCCATGGATACAGTGATGATAGGGACGGTGAGGCTCTTGCAGGGGCCTTCCCATTAAGACTCACAACAGTCCTGGAATCTGGATGCTACCACCGCACTTGACAGTGCACACACTGAGGGGCAGCAGGGTTACGCAGGAGCGGAACTTGAACCAGGGCTGTTGAGCGCCAATGCCTGGTCCTCACTCCTCGCACCGTTGACTATCGTGTTGCCAGGTCCCCTGGAATGCCCTCTCCATCAAGGTTTGGTGCTCCTCTCTCCCACCAGCCATCTCCATCCCCAGCCAGATGCAGGGGACTCTGATGGGGTTGGGAGTGTCATAGCACTTGAGTGTGTTGCGTGGAGAAGGTTGAGAACCACCAACTCAGAGCGCATCCTCACTGAACAAGATAAATATCTGTGGACTGGCCAGAAAGCAGACCAAGCCCTACCGTGGCAAAAAGCAGGTCCACCACCAAGTCCTCGTGCCAGCTTTCAGCCATACATCACTGTATTGCCCCATAAACTTCAGCAGACAGTTGGTAGAAAATATGAGCAAAGTCAGGAGGCTTTGAGCAAGGGTCTTCCTGGGCTACCCTCACCTATTGGCTTAAGCCATTTCTGTGTGTTAATGATACTTGGTAATCCTTCACTTTGCAGCATACAACTAAGTAGTGATATATCTTTATTAACAGTGGAATCCATTCTATTTATTTGGAATGTAGGCTTTCAGATAGCATTTTAAATATTAATGACTGGTCTCTGGTAGTCAGCATAAATATGATTTGCATTAGCACCAGGTTGTATCATCTTGAGTGCTCTGATGTCAACTGTTGGGTATAGTAATATCTGACATCATCTCCTCAGGTCACTGACAACTTTGACCTCTATTCTTATGCACAGTTTCTGTCGTCTCAAAAGCTCTTTTGAATTGATTTGAAATTTTGACTCTTCCCTTTATGAGGCAGTAAAATTGATAATTATTCAGATGGGAACTGAGTGCTGAGTGAAAAATCAATTCCACCCGCTCTCTGCTGCGTATAAAATTACTTGTGAGTCGGCTGGACTGAACGGATGGCCAGAGTAAAAGCAGCAGGCAGGGGCAGTGGGAAGAATTAGCTGGACAGAGCGCATAGCCTGAGGGATGGACCTGGAAAAGAGGGAGTGAGCCAGTTGGGGGTTATTATGAGCAGGATGGGTCCCATTGATCATCTGTTTACATCAGCTTTCCAAAACCTTATAAATCAGCCCTGAAGAGCAGCGGGGCCCAAGATTCAGCCTCTTACCAGAGGGACTTTGTATTAAATTATTCTCATTCTCACACTCAGATGAAAAGTGAGCCATTGATTATTCATCGGTTGCCCATTAAAAGCTGTTTTTATAGATGATTTGCCTATCACAGAAGGTAATGAACAAGGTTGTTGCTTCATATCTTGAGGTTTCAGTTTTCAAGGCATCTGTGTGGTTAAGTAATGCCTAACCCTATTAAAAGGAATGGGTTACAAATTGCTTAACAGTGCTGAAAAACTAGACCCTAATGACTAATTGTGCTTGGAGTTTAGAGGGGGTTTGTCAGCTCTTTAAACTAAACTGATGTAATGATACTGCAATTATTTACTACTTTGAACTGCTTTCCTCCAACCTGGACCTGTTTTGCTGGAAGCGTAACTAGAAGAAGAGTGTCAGTTCCAAACTGCAGCAGGTACAGCTCCTCTGGCCTGCCGAGACATACGAGGGCCTCTGAGGGTTCCAGCATCCTCACGAGCTTTCCTGTTTGCGTGCCGCAGCCTGGGAAGGACAGGTTAAGTGCCTCTCACCTGCAAATGTGTTTATTATAAACGGCTCTGTGGCTTTAGCTCATCTCTGGATATTCTTCAGATAAGCTATCTTCCGTATTTTGCAACCCAATCTAACTTGGCAAGCATTAAAGTTTAGTCTGCTTGAAGATTCATTAAGTGAATCTATATCAAGAAAGGATTCTCGCCTCATCAGCACGTTTTGACCTGACAGTCCAGTTTACATGGAGAGGGGTGTGACTCCCACAGTGCTGTTATGCCAAGAGTTGGATAAACTAGAACAGACCAACAGTCCCAGGGATCAGGTCACTAACCACCACTGATGGGTGGTGCGATAGACACTGGTCTGCTACAGTAATTTGTAAAGTAGTAGTTGTGTAGTAGTCATGTGAAATGTTCCGCACTAGTTGGGGTGTATGCATTGTAACCAGTAGATCAGCATCCACGTAGTTACATCCTGAGTTATAACACAGATTCATTCAAATACGGTGAATGGATGAGCATGTTTTATAGAATTAGAGGAGCACTTCAGAGATGCGGTTGATTCTATTTGAAATGATAAGAATTCTGATGCAGAATTCATCTCAAAATCAGAATTCCATTTAAAACGAGGTGCTCTAGAAATAGTAGCAGCTTCCACTGAAGTAGAACAAGAATGATGTGATTGTCAGTATCACTGATTAGATTATGCAATTAACTCAAGATATTTTTAGTAATTAGAGTGTCCAACACCCATATCTTTGTGCAGAGGACTAGAGTAGTTAGATTTGAATTTGTCGCCCTCGTCTATTTATCTATTTAGCTCAAGCCAGAGAAGTTCTAATTGTGATTTCCTCCGTCCCTCCCCCCCCTTCCCTCTCTCTCTTTTATTTTTTATTTATTTATTTTTGCTAACACGACGTTTAACTACAAATTGTGAAGAGCTGTCAGGAGCTGTAAGAATCGTACTTCAGTAGGGATGTAACTGAAAGAACATTCGCCCTTTTCCTCAATCAGTCAGTCAATCAATGAAAATTGCTTTTGTCTAGTGCTCTTCATGACATGCATCCCAAAGTGAATTACAGCAAAAGGGAAATCATCTGCTCTTTTTTCATTTCTGTGTTTAGAGTGAAACGATATTGCTCAACATTTTGACATACTATATGAGACATCTTTCATACTTAAGATGCCATTCCATAATACCAAGTAGGAGAAAGTGCAGTCGCATCTTTAACTGATGTTGAGACTTTGGCCTTAGAACCTCAGCAAGATCCTCACAGTAGAAAATATCTAAGCAGGTAAAACATGGTCACATCTCTTACCCTCTTTAAAAAATAATTAGCCAGATGTCTTAATGTTATGAAAAACTATTTCTTGTGATCCTTAAACAAAAAAGTGTGCTTTTCGTGTAATTTATTAGCTCAGTCTGGTTGATTTGTAGCTTTATTAAAAAAAATATATCAGTAGATTGATCTCAAAACCAAGCAGAGAGTGTTCCCAATTCGATCAGAGTTGAAGGCAGCCACGGGCCTGTCGTGAGACACTGCAGATAGGAGCCCTTCACGGCAGAGCTGTTTTCCATGGTGCTGCTGGGATCCTGGTCCTGTCCACACACTGTGGACACACATAGTGCCAGACACACTGTGTGCTTCTGGGAGAGAGTATTGGCAGAATGGAAGCACATTTGGGTCGTTTCTTTGCATACTGTTCAGGGAAACTCCTTTACATGTGCCTGACCTGACCTCATCACTGTGTCCCTGTGAAGGTGCAGTCTTGTCATCACCATTTCATGGGTACAGAAACCAAGGCAGGAGGAGACTGAGTAACTGTCCCAGCATCACAGAGCCTGTGGAGGACACAGTCTCAGCCTGGAACTCAACCTTCGGAGCTCCTGGCCCAGCCGCAGAGCTGCTGCCCCTTAGTGTACATGGTGTTTCCTGACCGGCAGCGGGTGGTAGGTTTTGTGCACTTAGGGTGGGGCAGTCTGAATGCCACATGAGTCCCACTGGGGCTGTCCTTAAGGTAAAGTGGTTTAGCATCGTCATCCTATACCCCAACTTCGTCCTGCAGCTGGACAGAACAGATGGGCGGTGACCCATAGAGTGACGGGCAAAGCAGAGGGAAGTGACTTTGCCAGCTGGTGCAGAAAAAGCCCTGTGGCTTCCACCATCACTAAGGCAAGGCCAACAGTGCTCCTCTCTGTCATCTATAGCCAGGGCATAAAGCTTAGTAGAGCGTGTGTCCTTGAGGAGGCCAGAGTCTGGTAATGTTGGTGGCTTTTTTCAGGCCTTGAGATAGCTGTTGAGGTCTACTTAAGGTGTCTGCCCTCGGTAGCAGCACTGGCCCTGTGAATAGAGGCGGGAGGTTTACACCTGTGCCCAGCCCAGCTGCGCTTGGTGCTGACTCTCACCGCTGATTCCTTCACCTCTTTGTGGTGTAATCTGCCTTTTAAAGGAGCCTCCTGCTGACCACTACCATTAGTTCTGCTGGTGGTCTCCTCAGCACGCCTGGGTCCCCTGGAGCCCCACTAAGGCAGCTGTAAGGTAACAATCAGCAATAAAATCCCAAAAGGGAATAAACCCCTAAGAATGAAAAATTTGTGTCTATCATCCCCAAAGACGAGTTAAGAAAATTAATGATTAATTTTAAAAATAGAAAAACACTAGTTTTTTAAAACTAAAATGGCATTTTAACTATGATATTATAGAATTGTCTGTACATCTTTAGAAGGATGATTCTACTCCAGATCCTTTGTTATTAAACATACCTTTGCCATCTTGATTTCATTTTTATTATAGAACTATTTATTGGATGACTATTTCAACTGTAATAAAATAGTATTTTTAAACAGAAAAAAAAACAGTTAAAATAGAAACCTGTTCTTGATTTATGAATCATCAAATTAATGTCATAGCCAGAGTGATACATTTTAGAGTAGTTTTTTTTTTCTTTTTTTTTTCCTAAAATAAATCACCTTCATCTTGATACTTGTATCAGCCCCAGCAGAGCCTCATCAGTAAATGTCTGCAAAGCAAACCCCCCCAAAAAGAATGTTCGGAAGTACAGTTTTAGCTGTCTGATCTCACACGTTCTTGGACTATTGCAGCATAGTAAGCCAAATGGTAGTTCTAAGGTAAGATTATGTCATAATACACTATAGGATAGCCCTGAGGAAATTCCACAAGAAAATTTTATTGTAACATGAAGAATGAAAAAAGTACTTCAGGTTTCTTCCAAATTGTTGACAGAACAGAGAGGGCCCTCCCATCCCGCTAGGACATGTGTTTTCCTACCTCTAAGCACAGTGTAAGGATGTAATCCATTGGTAGCATGACTAGCCTTATTAATTGAAAGGGGTGGGATCCACCAGATGTAGCCCAAGCCAGCAGAGAGTTGGGTGGCTAGGCAACAGCAGAGACACCATATTGAGTGAGCCAGAATCCAGTCTCCAAGTCATTTATTTCAGCCAGTGACAATACATTTAAACTCCTGTGCCTCAGCAGTGATTGATGGTTTAATATCATATATAATTTTTTTAATGAAGGAAAACCATTTAAATATGTTACCATTTGCACTGGTATTCTCTTATGTACATAACTGCATTTAATCATTATGGGGATTGTTTTTATACTTGTGTAATTTGTATCCAAGAAATAACTGTCAAAGCCATCTCAGGCTGTTGCTGGAAATGGTACAGTGTGCTTCATACTTGAATAGATTCATTCTTCCCTGCACATAATTAAGAGTGTGGAGCTTTCACTGCACCACATAGGAATTCCATGTTTACATTTCTAAGATAAGAAATTAGCCGCAATGTGCTTTTTCAGGTTTCCATTTTCTGGGGCCATGATATTTAAGTACCTTAGTTTTTGTACCACTGTATGATTTGAAGAGTTTGATTTTAAGACTTTTAATATTAAAATACATAATAAAATTTTATTATCTAATTATAAGAGGGTTTAGCCTCTTATTAAAGTTGCTAAATCAGGCCTAGATTAGCATTATAATGGCACAGTTTGACATGGAATACTCAAAAGTCAAGTTCGAGGGAAGGGAGGGGTTTTTTGTTGTTGTTTTGGGGGGTTTTCTCCTACCCTGGCCCCTCACACAACAAGGATGAAATGCATGTTTAGAAACAAACAAGGAGCAATTTGGGACGCTGGAGAAGGAGTGGAGGTGTCAGCCCAGGATGGTACCCTTAGGCAAGGCAGCTGGTGTATGTAGCCTTTTGTTGATCTGCTACTGGTTTATGTAGCCTTTAGGCCGCCACCAGAAACAATCACTCCTACAGGGTCAGCTGCTGGTCAGAAGCAAAGTAAGAAAAGATTTTGCGTCCAAACGCGGCAGCCATAATTTCTGTACAGCTGGCACCTGCTACTGGTGCACAGCATGAAGGTGAAAGGTCAAAGAGGCAGTTGTTCAAAACTCAAGAATGGCTTAAAGGGACTTGTAGATTAATCTGCTTTATTAACTTCTGTATATTAGATAACTATTGCTGTGAATGACAGTACATCTTTTTGAATAAGTCGCATCTCTTTCTCTTTTAAATTAGCTTTTGAGTAATGAATATTAAATAGAAAGATTTTCAGGGGTAATTAAATGAAAACAGAATGATGTCATTTTACAATTATATCTGTGTGTTTATAGAATAGGGGAATTATAATGTTTTCCAATGCACTTAAAAAAACAGCTCCTCATAAAGTAGAATTTGGAATAAATAAGTCACATATCCATTAGCCTTTGTCTTTAAACTGAAAAACATGACGGAGTTTGGACTTGGCATGAAATCACTGGGTGCCAGTGGCTAGATTTGGTGTTCCCAGGGGCTCCAAATGTTTTCTTTATGAATTAAAGTGACTGCAATCTGTCATCGTTCTTTTATCTACAGTTTAGCACAGTCAGTTTGCTGTTAGTCTAGAGCAAATGTTCTCAGAATAGCCAAGGAGTTGTAAAAAGGGAACAATGGTTCTGCCTTCTCCTCACACGCGTGCAGAGCAGGTAGAGAGTGTTTCCTAAGCGGGAAAGGCAGAGCTCTCAGAGCCTGTCACCCGTGTGGCCACAGCAAGCAGAATGATTCTCCGCTCTTCACCAACAACGGTTGGCATAAGTGGTTGTCATCGTAAAGCAAGACTAAAAGGAGTCCAATAGATGTGTCCTTTTTAAAAACTTCTGCACCCGAAACATTGCTTTAGGAATTTTCCATGATGAGATTCTGACACCACCTCTGCAAAGGTTCAGCAGGCTGTTTGGAAGGGAGACTTCTGTCTGCCTGCCGACATGCGGGGACAGTGAGTTCTGATGGTTTTTGTCGTCATCGTGGTGGTGTTCGTTTCTCAGAGAAAGAAAGTACTAGAGAGGACATCTGCACTTTTGTGCTGCTGTGGCACTGGCAGCGACATTTATCCAAAATCCACAAACTGGTCATCTGGGGTTTCAGTTGCACGCCCAGGTTTTGACCCAGGTGCAGTCTTTCTACCCCGAGAAGGAGGTATAGGACAGGATCATGTCCTGCCTCCCACCCATCTCACCTGTAGGGGTGTCCCACAGATTAGGTTAGGAGCCGCCCCTGGAAAGCAGGCAGCCCTCTTGGCACCTTCCTCAAGATCAAGACTTCACGCCACCCTGCGCAGCCTTTGTTCCTGGACCCGAAAGGCAGCACAGAAGGAAGAAGGTGGTGGCGCCTGATGTGGAGAAGGAAGGAGAGTACTACGTGAGCCAGCTCCGTGGTGCTAGGTGCTGGGTGCCGGGTGCATGCGCACATTTGTAGTCAAGGTTCTCGACTTTGTGAGGTATTTTTGTCTATTTTATAATCGAAATATTATAATTAAGGCTCTGAGAAGTCAGGTAACTCCCTCAGCACATACAGCCAATAAGCAGCAGAACCTGGGATTTATGTCCCCTCTGTGCCATTCTTCTAGATGGCGTGGGAGTAGGGCTGCTTGGGGTGGGAGAGTGGCAGGAGGAAGTGTGATTCACAGATCCCTCACTGAGCCTAGAGTTCCTTTCTCTGAGGAGCAAGACTTGACCAAGCCCTGAGCAGAGCCCTTCGTCAATGATTCCTCCCTCCCTTTGGTGCCAGGGACGGAACCCAGGGCCTCACACATGCTAGACAAGCTCTCCACCACTGAGCCACATCCTCCGTCCTTTCTCCCGAGATTTAGCAGCTGGCACTTAGGTGCTCGTCATCCCTTGGTCCTCACTTCGGTTGAGAACTCATGAGCAATGGGGCAGCCGTTCCCTACCATACTCTCAGAGGCAGCTGGTCTGCAAGGGGAGAAGAAAGAACCACCGTGCTGAGAGGACAGCCCAGGGAAGAGACTAGAACGACTGCAACCGCCACAGCTGCACTTCTGAGCCCTTGAGAGGCATTCCTGGCTGTGGGTTCAGAGGCCACCCTGATATCAAAACCCAGGGCTTGGAGATATCTCCTGCTCAAAGTGTAGATGCTCAAGGGAGCGTGAACAGAGTGAGCCAGGGAGAGAGAGTCGCTCAGTCACACGCAAAACGAGCCTTCACTTGTGAAGTGAGAAGCAGGCAGCAGGCACCTTTTCTTTTTTACTTTACCTTTTTTTCTTTTTCTCGAAAGGAAAATGCCCACTTTTGTACCTATATGTGAAAAGTGTCCCCTCCAGAAGAGTCGCAGCCCTAGACTTCTTCACAAGATGACTTGACTTTGAAAGTCCTGGCTGCTGCTGTGGCCCCATCCACATGTCCAGCCTTTGCTGAGGTTTTTTCTGTGACAAGCATTCTCTGTTCACACCATGGCCTGGGGTGTGTGCAGAGTGGCTCCAGTCTTGACCCCAGAGTGACTTTTGTCTCATTTAGTCCTTCTGCATATGTCTGGCATGCAAGAAGGAGGTAAACCTGGTGATTCTTCCCATTCACAGGAGGTCTTCGTGTCTAATACCTCTTCCAGATCTCTAGCAGCCTGGTGGACAGATAAGGTCAACATGGGGTTTCAGAACTCGAGACTCTAAGTTCATCAGCCCTAAGTGCATGGGAGCACTATGCAGGCTCAAGGGGGAAATAACTTGCCCAAAGTCTCAACAGCCACTAAAGAGTGGTGCCTAGGGCTGTGGTCTGTGTCTCCACAAAGGTCCCCAGGGTGGATGTTGGGAGGTGGGACCTAGTGGAGCTTCTGTGGCTGCTGGGGGCAAGATGCAGTTTGCAGAGATTGTTACAAAGGAGCAGGCCTGGTTCCCCTGCTGCCTGCTCCTGACTCAAGTGTGCTCCTTCCTCTGTGTGCATTCCCGCCATAATAATGTCACCCACCAGATACCCAAAACTGTAATCTAAATGAAACCTGTTTTCTCCACACATGGCTTGCCTTGGGTGTCTCCTCACAGTGACAGAAAGCAGACTCATTGACATTATCACCGAGGACTCTGTCTCTAGACTCACAGTATTCACCACACCAAGCTCCCTAGGCCACCCTACCCGTGCTTCCTGGCATTTTTTCCTACCCCTTCACCCCACCAAGGGAGACAGCAGGACAGTAAATGGCAAGATTTCTCCTGCCTTCATATCTCTTACTGGCATTGTGAATGCTAAGAGAAGCCCTTGAGGTTTTGAAGGAAGGGCACAGTATAATGTGAGGATTGGCTTCATGATGACATAGTTTGTTCATTTTGCAATTATGACTGGTTTTTCAGATAACCTGCAGAGCAAATCATGTGATTCCCAAAGTATATTTTTATGCCGGACATGAGAATCTGACCTTCACATTCATTTCTTTCTCAGCTCTTAGAAAGTTAAGCGTGCAGTCACCACAGAGGGGCTGTGAGTTAGGGGCGTGCAAGAAGGACCTCTTTGGTGTGATCTGATGTGAAGAACAGGGTAGAACTCGGTTCTCTGAACCTCTCAGGAGTTAAGCTGCCTCGTGCTTTGCACCCCAGAACTCTTGCTTGTTTGTTCTGTGTGTATGTCATGCTGAGGAGAAGAGCAACTGAGTGCTCTCAGACTGCTAAAGTTCAGTCCTCCCTCCAAAGGTTTGTTTTTGTTTGTTTGTTTGTTTTTTAGTTTTCATCGGACACAACATCTTTGGTTTTTTTGTTTTTGCTTTTGTATGTGGTGCTGAGGATCGAACCCAGGCCGCACACATGCCAGGCAAGCACGCTACTGCTTGAGCCACAT